TTTCGCTTTCGGCGTCTGCATGGGTTATACTATCCGTCGATGTGGTTAGTTGTGATTCCTATCTGTGTTTGGTGTGTCTAGGAGCGCGTAAAATACGCGAAAAGCGCACTCCCAGAGGGGCCCGTTCTGTAATATAGTACCCTAAATAATCGGATCCTTAATGTAAGGACCCCAAAGTAAGGTACCCCTAATTTTCGGAAACTCCCATGTAGAACCCAAACCTTCCTCCAACAGCTCCCGGGCTCACATATCCACAAGCGGCTTGCTTTGCATAGCCTTCAAAGACCTTCAGCCTAGTCTCAAGCCCTGACATATGGTTGATGATATAAACCCTATATTACGATGGACCCTAAACTACGGGAATTAGGGCATATTCCTTATTATGGGTCATGCAGGATTTATATCATCAATCGTAGAGCACTAAATTCTGAAGCCCAACTCTTAACCCCCCACCCCCCCCCCAGAGTAAACCTCCCAGACCTTCGCGCATCCCTCATTAACGTATATAGGGTTTAGGGTTTAGGGTTTAGGTATATATGTTTATACACCTTAAATCATATTAGGGATCCTACTCTAGTTTAAGGAATATTCAACATCCTCAATTCAAGGATTTTGGGAAGTCTCTCGATCTCGATGGCCTGTTCCCTGAAGTCGTTTGGACCGAGGCTGCGGCACTGCAGACCAGGCGGCGAGCTGTACATTCCGAACCTGTCGCAGCAGGAAGCCTTTCTCTTCGGGCTTGTGGGCCGTAGGGCTTTGGACTTTGCTTTCAATCCCGATGATGGTATTAAGGATTCATGGATGAGAAACCCAAAGGGTCTAAGTACCCATATAGTAGATATTTTGGGCCCCAAAGTATCTACCATATAAGTACTTAGACCCTTCGGGAAAGGACTGTGGCGCTCAGGGCTCGCCGGTGTCATGCGTTTCTGGGAAGGGGAGCTCTGAGCCTTCGGGGCTGTCGTGAAGCATCCATACTCCAAAGCGCTGGAGAAGAAACCTTAAACTACCAAAACCTACTTTTTGGTAGGTTCTTATTAAACTCAAGAAGCCTAATACAGAATTTATAGGGACCTACAAAAAAGTCGGTTTCGGTAGGCTAAGATAGTTAGTCTCTATTCAAACCCATACCCGTACCGCCGCGCCTCCTGAGTCCTGAGGACCTTCAATGGATACCTAGCTGAATTGCAAAACGTGGAGGAAATCCCACTCGCACCAGACTCATATAGCAGCTGTTCACGCCGAGAGCATGTGAACACGCACCAAACACACTACATCAGGCGCCTTCAAACCAAACAGCGAAGCTCAACTCCTGCCTTACGCTCGGTAGAAATCAACAAACATATCTGAAGCCTATCAGGGCCTGCGACAATTCAACTGGTAGCCGAAACCAGAAGAACCCGATCATTGAGACAAACCAAATTATGATTGTCGTAAGCCCCTTAAAAATTCTGGAAACCTAATACAGGGACCTTAATGATTAGAATAGGGTTTTGGGGTATGTTGTACTATATCTATACTTAAGGAACCCCACAATAGGATGGATGATTATTAAGGCCCCCCTATATTACACAGTTCCCCTGTAAGGCCCTACCCTAAACCCTAAACCCTAAACCCCTAAACCTAAACCCTAAACCCTACAGAAAAGAAAACCTTCTACAACACCCTCAGAGCCCAACTCCGATGCAAAGCCCGGTGGGTGCCGGGCCCAGAGGGTGACTTTGGAGCCTTTCAGAATCTTCTCGGTGTAAACTCCTGCTGAACCCTCAGAAGTCACGTATAGTATAGGGGTAAAATCGAGGGATAACGGAGGAGGGGGGGGGGGCGGGGGTAGAGGGCGTAGACTCCTGTTTAGTCATGTATATAGGGGTAGAATAAGGGGGTTGGAGGGGGTTATAGAGACTGTAGACTTCTGCTTAGGACTTACGGTTTTAGAGTTTCGGGGCTTGAGTCTTGGAGTGTTGGCTCGGGCTTAACCCCAGTGAGTCCATGTACCAATTTTCGGTATTTTTCAACGGGGTCAGTATGGGGTTTTGTACATTTTTTTGGTCCGTCATGATAGGGTAGTAGTGATATAACCCTTTACAACAACTGAGTTCTTGGACCCACAGGTTGAAATTGTTGTTGAGAGGGGGGTGTTTTGTGGGGCGGAGGGTTGGAGATTCAAGGCTCAGAATGGCGACGTCGCTTAAAGGTCTTTAGGAAGCCCTATCGCGCCAGTGGCTTGAGGCTTTGGGGGTAATATAAGGGCCTTAATACTTAGAATAGGGTTCTGGGCTATATCATACCATACTCATAATAAGGACCCCCAAAAAAATACTATAGGTAGTTATTTAGCTCGTATATTAGACTCGGGGTTTTTGAGAAATTCACGGGTGGTGTGATGAAGGGATGGTCGGGAAATGATTAAGTATTAAGGCCTGTGCAAGGTCTCATAGGGTTGGGTGCTGGGGTTCAGAACTACAGGTTTAAAGAAATAAAAAATGTCTTACGCTTTTGATGGCTTCGGTGTGTAGAGGCTTTTGAGCTTTTGGGTTTAAGGCTTGGTATTCACATTGGGTTTAGGGCTTTGGGGCTCAGGAGGGGTGCTGGAGGTTTGGGCTTAGGGTTCTTTCACAAAACATCTAAAGCGAGCCACAACTGCTTCAATGCTCAAAGACAAGCTGCTCAACGCCAAGACACAAGAATGTGTGTAAGGCGTCTGTCCCTGGCTTGAGAGCTGGACGGTCTAGGCTTCGGCGTCTTAAAGTGCTGGGCAGGCTTAGGGTTCAAGTAAAAAGAAGCAAAGGACGGCACCTGCCAAGCCCGAAATGGCGGCTGACAGCATGGTCGTGAGGAGACCTGCGTGACTCGATCACGAGCAGTTGTAGGAACGTGCCATGGCCGGCCACTGCAGAGTTCCCATCACCATCAGAACATACATACATACATACATACATACATACATACATTCATACATACATACATACATACATACATACATAATTTTATATATATACACATATCTATATATCTATATATATATATATATGACCGTCAACGGCTGTAAACAGTATGAACATTGTTTATTGTCAGTCGTGGTGCAGATGAAGTTCGTACTGAGGATGATGGTGTCGCTAGTGGTGATGGTGGCTACGATGTATTTTGCATTAGCTAACTCCTTATGTTGACAAAGACCGTGAGAGAACGTAGTGAACAGAAGCAAAACCAGACAAGCCAACACTCTCCGATCCCATCTCTGGACTGCCCTCCTGCCTGTCTGCCTGTACAATAAGGCTAAGCACCCAAGACAAAAACAGAGGCGGATGAGCCTGTAACTTGGCCGCTCCAACCGACTTTCCTGCCTCAGGCGCTCCGAGAGATTGCGGCAAAAATGTGGCCAAAAAAAAACATCACGGGACGCTTCATGCAGAGGGAGGGTTCAGGAACCCTAAAGCCTAAGCCGTAGACCCTTCGTCTAGAAATGAGATTCCAAGAAGCCCTCGAGCTCGAGAGCTTGACTTCTTTTGGCAAATCAGAGTGGGAGACGAGAGCTGAGACATATGGGAGTTTCAGAAAATTAGGGTACCTTATTTTGGGGTCCTTATAATAGGGATCCTATTAACTAGGGTACAATATTAGGGTCCCCTATTTTCGGAAACCCCCATATAGCCTAAACGGCAGGAGCAAAACCTTGAGCACAAAAGCTCCCAGCATGGGATGCTACAATCTAAGGTTGAACCCATGGGCCCCTAACATGGGCCCTTAGGGGATTCTAGGGTCCCTTAAGAATATATATAGGGTATATAGTAGGTATACTAGGGTCCCAGGGTTAAGGGCCCATACTAGGGCCCATGGGTTCTACCTTAGATACAATCTTGAGAAGCCCCTAATCAAATCTACGGCCCTTGATATTGACAACTGCCATTAGTCAGAGGGGTCTTTGCCCCTTTGGGGTAATAATGCCACCGTCAACCCAT